ATACAGGCCTTCATACTGCGCGGCCAGTCGTCTATCACAGCACGAACGAGATCCATGTCAATATCGGCGGCTGCCGATTGGGATGAGGCTTTGAGCACGCCTTTTCCTCCAAGTGTTGCCATATCTTGTAATCTAACCGATTCAAATCTGGACTGGAGGAGGGCCAGTCTTCGTGCCGGATGAAGTCGATTTCACGCGCCGCCAGCCAGTCTTGTGTGCTCTTCGCTCTATGAGCTGGCGCCGAATCTTGTTGGAATACCCAGTGCCTGTTATTGAACATGGTATGAGAAACAGGTTCCACTAGGTTCGTCGGGACTGTATTTTGATACACAGCTGCATTCGTTTTTACACCTTTCTCACAAAAATGTACCTCTGTTAAGCCCCAATAAGAAACTCCTAACCATACCATGAGCGAGGATGGAAAATGACCTCGTTGGACACGCGGAATACGGTTGCTCGCTTCTTCACTACTGTGTGCGTACACCTTATTATTTTATTTGTTATAGCTCTCTTCTACGGTAAAAATTTTTTCATCCGAAAAAAGAATTTCCTGATATTTTTTTCCCGCGTACGGCTTCAACAAAGCGCGGCATCTCTTCAGTCTCAGGTCCATTAGACTAGCATTCAAACGATGTCCTGTTTTTCTTCGATATGCCCGAAGCCCTAAGTCTTCATTTAACACCCTTTTCACCGTGGTTCTGCTTAACCCCATCTGAAGGGCCAACAGTTTCTGCTTACGTTTGGGATTTCTTTGAATTCGCGCCTTCACAGCTTTTATCACTGCTGGAGTCCTAACAGACCGAGGACGACCACTTCATGACCTGTCATCTACACTAGAGTCTTCATTGTATCGTTTGATGGTACGATACGTTTATCGTACCATCAAACGATACAATGAACAAAACGATAACCAAAAGATTCGTTAATCTTTTGGTTATATTCAAATTTTTCTGTATGTCAAAAATTTGAATTGGCGCGTAACCGCAACGATGCAACGCAATAACTGCAACACGGTCTTCTTTACGCGTCCACTCCATATTTAAAAATGAGTAAAATTCTAAAAAGTATACAGTTTTATTTTCATGAACAATTCGAAATTCGAATTCAATAAACTTTTTTGTGGTCAGCATTCTAAAAGAAAAGTTTTTACTGTGTGACAATACTTATGACCTGACTAGGTATATATATATAATATACATATAATAGTTTAAGTATAACCTCTTGTTAATGCCAGACGTAAAATGTGTAGACAGGTCAAAGTTCACGCCTGGTGCTGTGATCGTCAAACCGCCTGCCAAGCGTGACAGTTAATGCAAATCTCTGCAATGGAAAAGGCATCAAGGCATCATATCTAGCAGCGGGATTTTTTTATACGATAGGGTGACAAACGAGCACACAGTCCACCTGATGGTAAGTGGTTGCTGAGGCCCATGGACATCTACATCTATCATCGATAAATAATCAAAATGCATATACGTTGTCACCCGTGAGGACTAAGATGGAATGCCTCGTTTCCAGTAAAAAGGGTCTCCGGTTCTCTACACTCACCATACGAAACACAGCAGCATTAAGCTGCTATATTACTCTGGTATTCTGTGAGAGCTTGGTCATACCCCGGTGCTACAACCTACAACCAGAATGTAGCTATAGCGTGGCTCTACCACGTCAAAATATCTGCTTAATAAATATCTTCTTGCCATAGCCCATAATCAGACACCTCCACAGAGTACTTTGTCTAGCAAAAGTCGCCTCTTACAGACACCCGAGTCGCCCATACTTACTATACTTTTTGTATCTGTAGGACGAAATGGGCTGATGGGTCCCTTAACGCCACCACCACGTCATACGGAAAAAATATAAGGGTATAATGTTATTATGTTGCTAAATAATGAAAAAAAAAAAGACACGAGCAGATACATTTATTATGACTTTATTTTTAAATATCAATTACATGTTGTTATTATTTATACGATTTTATACATAACTTTCTTTATAATTATGTATTGATTATAAAATACGATTCACTATACAGCGTGTTTATTTGTATTGTTTAGGGGCTGCCGTGTGGTTTCATGTAAACAGCGACCGCCATTGAATGGTCATTGAATTGAAGAGCTGTCAGGGTACGTAATTACAGTAGGTGCAGAGTAGTGAAGGCAAATTTTTGCTTTTTCTCGAATTTCCCATAAAATAGGGAAAGTCGTAATTTGCTTAACAAATCTCCGAGAGCTACAGAAAAATCCATATTGGACAAATAACTTAGAAATACAGCTCTACTAATTATTTATATATTTCCAATGTAAGTAACAGTCTATATTTTTTTATAAAAACTAAAAAAATATGCCTTCGCTACGCGTTCATTGTTCAAAAAGCTTAGACACGAACTTATTTCAGCTCAAATCAATAAAGAGACCTGAACCTAAATATATCTTATTTATATTAGGTAAATCCTCATATTATCCCCGAAGATTCCTTAAAGCGGGCTATTCATGTAAGCTGTCAAAACTAAATGGTAAAGTATTTTTTTTAAGTTAGTATATTATGACAATAAAAAAAATACCGCGAATTATGAGTTTTTTTTTTACAAATTTCGTTGTTCAAAACCAGTACCCGATACTTACGAATAGGGAAAATAAAGGAAGAATAACATTTCAAAGTCACTCTCATCTACAGAAGGAACTTTATCTTGCGCTATATTCACCAGTTTTATACATAAGTCACAACCACAATTCCTCTTTATTTTATTTAAAACGAAATTAAGAAATAAACGGTTGATCTAATTTAAACAATACTTCTAAATTGAGCAACGTTACACAAGTGACGATAAAACGTTATTCATCAAATGAAAGTAAAACAAATTTGAAATTGTTGTCCAAGGAAGGGACCGTTGTTTTTTCTTAATTATTTTAAAAACATAAAAAAATCTGTGTTTTATATGGGCTACAATCGCGAACAAGCGGCCATTTTTTAAGATAATTCTTAATTTAAATGGTTTGTTTTATTTATCATTGAAAAGAAAAATGTTTGTGCTGTAGTGACTTTGTTTCAGTAGTTATTAAAAACAAGCATTGTAAAGCAAATATCCTAATATTTCCTTATGTCGTATACGGTGTAAATACTTAATATATTTATTTATAAAAGAAAAATTGCGCCAGATTTTGGCACCGTAGCATATTGTTTTATAACATCAAATTCAGCAGAATTATTAATTCATCTGTTATATTAATAGAATATTTCCCTTTGCACAGATTAAATATCAAAATTAAAAGAAAAGAACATGATACCCTGTCATTTCATGCCTCATTAACACAAAATGTTTTAAATGCAATCCATCGAGGCTGTAACGAAATACGTTTGGCACTACTCAGCATAACAGAAAAACGTAAACAAAATTAAATAACCCTCGTAGTTTCTCTTAATAGCTATCTTACTGTTTAATTAAAGCATTTCATGTGTTGCCACACGTATTTATTAATATATATATAATAAAACTATTTTAACATCCACTAATATAATCCGATATTTTGCTTTTCTATTAACCAACACAAACCTTTTTTTGTAAAATAAATCTTACTTAAAGTTATTTAGTTACCAAAAAATAGTAAAATACTTTTTACAATAGAAACTGTAATTTATTGATATTACTATAATTACATTTAACAAAACTAATTGTGTTTTCAATTGCGACTGCGATACTATTTAATCATTTAAGGGCGGAATTACATAAATAACTACGTAATTTATTTTTATTTACAAACATTTTAAGCAACACTACTGTACCTACACTATATCAAATAGAAAACAATACAACGTGGGAATTGAGAAACTAGAATAAAGCATCGAAGTAATAAAAAAAATAATCACAATCTAATGCGAAACAATAACGTCAACAAAAATAAAAGGATTCTATAAAATGTAATCGTAAGACGTATAAGAAATAATCCGGTATTTTAATGTTTGTTTAAAGATTGTAAAAAGGAAATTTTGATTATTAGGATCAAAAAATTTCAGTACTACTATGCGATTTATCTGAGGATGCGATGATCTAACTACAAAACTGAACGATACACAAATTCTTCGGCGTTAAATTAGCCTTAAATTTACTTTTCAGTTATTCTAAAAGCTAATTAATTATCCGATGTGCGTTGGTTTCAATATAATGATATAGGTTCGATTTTTTTTTAATTGGACGCGTCAACAGATACCGTAGGGTTTTGCCACTAAGCGAGAATCATACAAAATTTTAACAATATATCCACTTGGATTAATCGACCGAGTCGAATGTAAAACGAAATTTATATTTCGCAAAACATTGAGTAAATTGAGCAACGATAAAGGACTATAAATATTTTCTACTACAAGCATCTCGCGCCGTTTCATTTCATTTTTAAATAAATAACTTTTATTTTATACAACAATAAAAACATTTTGTACAACGTCCCGACAAAAATACAAATCTCGAATTTAACCACTACTTAGACAAATTACATGAATATATATATATTATATATCTTACAATATTCTTATTACAATAGAAACATTCTTTATATTTACAACCGATTTATTTAATTTTATTTTTCTCTAATTTAAAAAGTATAAATGTCACTTTGTCTGTTGGCAGCACTGCTTTGGAAACACCACAACCAATTTCTCACTGACAAATCAAGTTCTCGGAGACTAGCATCAATGAAGGCTTATAATCTTACGCTCACCAGATGTCGCTAGTTGGAACTAAGACGAACTTATTTGTTACGCAGATTTTGAAATAAAAGTTGCGATTTAATTATAAATTTTTCGGTTATATGTATATGTAAAATACACAAACAAAGTGTGTGTGTTGTATTTTTAAGTTTTTTTACACATTTTAAACTATTTTTTTATGGTTCTACTTTTCGAAATATCTCTATAATTTTCTGACTTCACCGCTATGAAATCTGTCTAATATTTCGCCTCATTCCTAAGTAGCACCCTGGTGGCAGAAAAAGTCGTGGATGCCCTCATTAACAACTTATTTCCGTATTACCGGTAAATTCGCCGCCGTTGCTACCCTGTTTCGTAAATTTCTTTCCGTTACCGATAAAAACTTCGCCGTAGTTTGTCTTGTTTTTCTTTTTAGCGCCATTTTGATTGTCATTTGAACCCGAAGACGCATTATCGCTGTCCGCATACGGTACGTCAGTCAAAGGTCCGTTCAGCAAACTAGCTGCCGAACTGGACTGTTTTAGTTTGCCTTTTTCTTCCTTCTGTTCCGTCTCCTTCGGCAGGTCGTGTATTATTGCTTTTTTGGGATCAATTTGTATTGTTTTCGATTGTGAAAGTTTATTTGGTGTAACTACGTGTATGTATGGCGGTAAAATATTCATGGTTGTTAAGTTGACTGAACCGCTGTTTTTCTTTAAAGCGTTCAGGTTTTGTTCTAGTTGCGCAGCGTCGAGGCATAACGGTTTTGGCTTTGGCACTATTTTCGGTGGTTCCTTGTTTACATATGAATTGACTCGCGGCGGATCGGGTGAAGCGATCGGCGCGGTATTCCGATCTACAACTAATGAGTTCTTGTGATTTTTGTCGACAACGTTAGCTTCTATTGCTATTGATAATGCGTTTTCTGGTGGTTTAGGAGACGTCGGTGTTATGCTTATGAGCTTATCCACCTGTTAAAGATTACTTGTTATAAGAATTATAATAATCCCTCTATAGTACAATAAATCTAAGAAATACTCTTTGACGTTTCATATTTTCCATATCGCAATAATTTCCTAAAAACAACATTATACGTAAATCCAATTAATTAAGAAGTTATTTGTATTTCATTGGAGTTACATGTATTGTATAAATCTTAATCACTAGTGAATTTAAATTCGACATTTTCATTCAATACGAAAAATTAACTATGTAACCACAATTATAAGCTTAATCCAACAAATTTCGTAGTTGCCAAAAAGTATATCTAAGATTTGTTGCATTATACATGCAGTGAAGACCTGAAACACGCAGACTGTCAATAGATCATGTGGCTCGGGACCGTAATTTGGCAATCAGCGGGGGAAGTATATGTTCAGCGGTGGACTTGTGATTAGCTGAAGTGATATTGTATATTATACGATAATGATCAAGGCTCCAACTAAGAATAAATTCTGAAGACCTTGACGACCTCGTAGGTTAGTTGTTGCGGCTGATTTGTAATGAGTTATATGTTTAAATTTCAGTTGAGACTAACATTTGAGCAAAAATTGTCTTTACACATAATCAAGGTAATTCATTACCATCACAAAGCAAAAGTTTTCACTACAAGGCATCAAAACACAACGAAGTAATATGTATAGGTACTACGTATACGTAACAACGTACGTATGTACGTAAGTATACTATACTTCAATGTCAAAATATTAGTTTGTTTTGAAGAAACAAATGTAAATCTATTTGCATACATTTGAGGCACTTACGGCTGGTCCAGTGTCGGGATTCTGTTTGAGGTCTACAGAATTACTCTTCGACCTCGGCTCGGTGAAGGAAGTCTCCCATATCACCGGTCTGTCGTCCGTCTCCAACGCGGTGTCGTCGTCCACCGAGACACCCTCGACCGAACTTAGTAACCTGTGTTTAAAAATTATTAGTCAAAGGAAAATAATAGACATATTCGGCGATTTTTTTTTTCAATTGCTTTTTAAATCAACAACAAAGTCCATCTAATGGCAACTGTCTGTTACGGCCATGCATCTATCCTCGATTAAGAATCAAAATTCAAAAGCGTTGTCACATTCGATTCGATTCGACTAAGATGGAATGTCTTAATTCCAGTAAAATGGGTTTTCGGTTCTTTAGACTCACCATACGCAACACAGCAGCATATGTTGTTATTTTAAGCTGACATTCTGTAAGAGCGTGGTCCTTCCCCGTCGAGCTGACCATTTCGTACTATAATATTACTGTAGCGACTCTACCACGTAAAATCTCCAACAATATAATTACATCATATATGCCTAGACATAGACAACAGTACGATATTTCAGTATACGTGGTCCGTCCCCAGTAGCTCACGAGTCGTGCCGTATTCTATACTTTTGGTTCTAAGTACAATATTTATGACTGCTTCGTTGATATAGTGGTTGTAAACGCGACTATTGATCATGAGGTCCCGGATTCGAATCTTGGCTCGAGACAAAAATCAGCTATTGAGTTTTCCGTCAACAAATTCTCAGGAAGTCAGGAAGTTGGCGGTGTCTCACCCCCGCGCCTTGGAAAGCAGGTAAAGCTGTTGGTCCAGCGCCTGATCTCTCTCCGGTCGTGTCGACTTGCCGTTTCATTGGTCTATGAGAGTGAGGGAATAGAGAGTGCACCTGTGCTTGCGTTTACACTTGGGCACTATAATCCTGTCCTGCGCCGATGGCTAGACTCCGTTAAGGCTGGCTGCCGTAACTAAAATTCGGTTTTGAGGACATTAATACAATATTAAAATCTAAAGTTGTAAAGCATTCACCTGTCAGTGGAGTTAGACGACAGTAACTTTGTGCTTGTCCGCGTCTCGGCGCCGGAAGCAGCGCAGGCGTCGCCGCGCTTTGTGCCGCCCCGCGACGCAATTGGAATGTTGCCATATTCTTGTGATGCTACAATGTGGTAATTAATATTTAAAACATTAATATATAAAAACTGCATTTATGTAATGAATTTTAATGTTTATTTATATTCATAAATTTGTTTATTTATTATTACTGTGATATCCTTGCAATTAAAGGAATTTATGAAAGGTTTATTTAAAAACACCGAAAACATAAACGTCCATTTATTAACAGATTCAAACAAAATAGAGTAGCTATCAAAAACGTTGTTATTATTATTTATCAGTATATATATACACATATATACATATTACATTACAATTACCATGCATATCTTTTCGGCCTTATTTTTATAGTACACGGGTGATCAAAGTTCTTGTCGGAATCACTGAAGTTGTAAATTGCAACGTTAAGTGACTTACGATGAGCTCGAGTTTCAAAATATAGAAGTTAATTAAAGAAAGAGATGGAGGAAGGGAAAAATAGGGAGAGGGAGTGAGAAACTTAATACCCACTAAACTAGAGGATGTTTAATTTAGTTCCATAGTTTATATTAAAAAAAAAAAATTACAAGTTGTAAAAATCATATCTGATTTTTTAATACAATTACGATTTCATAGATAAAACTATTTGTATGTCAGTAGTATTCTAATAGAGACATTTATTATTACTTATATCACCTTTCAGTAGAGGTAGATATTGTGAATCCTCCGTTTCTGGTGTTTCCTGTGCTGCCGTTGGCGATGTGCTATGAGGCTCCTGTGCTTCCTCCGTTGAGCTATAACAAACCATCAACTAAATGTGTTTTTGATGTAACCTCTTTCATTTTTATCCACCATAGAAATTCCATTTATTGGACTACCAGCAAATAAGCAATGCATTTAGATTGTTTAGAAATTAATTATAGTAATTTTTTTCGGTAATAGATAGCCAATGTAGAATAAAAAAAAAATAAAAATCAAATCATGCAAAAAAATCTATGATTCACTTACTGCAAAGAAATGTTTGCCTTAAGCAATTAAATTGCGGGCAATCCAATATTTTATTATTATTTGAAAGTAAATATTCTTTAATCATTCGTTGTTTCGATCTCTGTCTTGATTGTTTTTATTTTACATCTTTTCAAAAATTTATCTAAGAGAAAATTTAGGGGATATCGGCTCACTAAGCATGCTCGTTACTGCTTTGTCGCTATGCAGCAGTTGCTATTGTTACTAAAATTGTGTTGTTAATAGCGGTCTACATTTTCCCATAATTTATTGTACCAATATAACCGTTCAGAAACCATCAAAGGCTATATAAATGTGGAAATTATTAAAAAAAATCGTTTCAAATTTTATGTAATAAGTCATTAAATCCTTTATAAATCTCGACTTAAATATCAAATTCTAATACATTGTTCTTACTCTTATAAATTATTCGAAATTCAATGGGAAAATTTAGATATTTAAACAATATTTTCTATTTTAAATTTGGCCACAATTGAATGAGATAGTAAAATAAATTTAATAACAAATCTTATTTTTGTACCTAAAATGTAGGAGAATGTTTATAATGTAAACTAAGTGAATGATATTCAAGTGTGACCCAAAATTTAATTAGGTTATCATAACATGAACTTCAAAGTGAGCATAAAATAAGTAATTTATATTTATTAAAAATACGTGAAAAAAGTCTAAAAGCCTGGCAGCCATTTTGAACCGGGATATTGTGTTAATAAAATGACAACTGCATTACGTTTTTTTTTCGAAATGACAAAAATAACACTAGGTATACAAGTTGCTACTGTTAGCAAAATCGTTACTCTATTTTGTTAATAACTAACAGTGTCAGATATGTAGTAGTTTTAGTTAATAATAATTTTTTGTGTGATGACCACATGATCCAGGGTTCGAATTATAATTAAAGCAAACATTTTATGTCATAAAAAAATTTTTGGCTGTCAATGTGATGTGTTGTTCCAATTTTTCGAATGGGACAAACTTCTAATCCTAATAGCGTGAAATTGAATATTAATAGCTTAGAAGTTAGTCGAATACACATTAATCAATTGCAATGTTTTATACTACATACCTATATTATGTCTTTATCTCAAATCAAATTAAATGCAGTTAAACAAACTGTTATAAAACAAAACTCAATAAACCCATTTTTTTTTGAAATAAAGATTTTCGTTACATGGAGAGAACAATATACAAAATGAATAAATTTCCAGGAGTATCAGATTCCTTAGTATCTATCACAGTTAAACAAGGGACTCTTTTTACGCATTTTAATCTTTTAATCATGATTACCCGATGTAAGTACAGGTATTGTTGTTGCTGTATTTTAATTTTTACTAATAAAAATCTTGTATCATTTTTTATGCGAGAGGACAACCAGGAATGCCAATTCCTTATTAAGACATTGATAAAGAGTTTCGTTATCAAAAGTCCACACTGAATTCCGTTATTATTATCAAACCGCATCGTAGCCTTGTGTTAGTGTTCCATAGATAATTTAATGTGTAGATTTGTTTATACTCGTAGTTATAATGGGTAACATCGTCCAAGCAGCCCGGTTGAGGTACCTGAACCTAGCCTCACTAGAATTTATTATTTGTATATTTAATTAATTGTTCGTGCTTTGTTCGAATATAAAATGGGTTTGTTCGTCTTTTAATTAATTATAATTAATTAAACAAATTTAATCCTTAGGTTGTTGCCCCTCTTAATGTAAATTTTAACTATTATCCCTTAAATTAACTAACTTTTACTAAATATCGTTTGCTCTGTCGCTCTTGATGATTGTTCGATGAGAGCGACTAGTATCTTTAATCAAACCTTGATAAGGAGTTTGTTTGTTTGTTAACAAAGTTCTCGCTGAATTTACATATTATCAAACCGCGATGTACCCTTTTTTTTAATAACTTGCTTTACTGCTCTGGGATCTAGCCCTTCTGAGCCTGAAGTTACAATATATTATAATTATCCTTCATAGTATACTGCTTCACAATATGTTGATGCGTCACATTGTGCAGCCCTTGGGAGATTTTGACGGCAACTTGAGCCAGCAGACAGCTGACGGTTGGCGATGGTATCTCAAGGCGCCTAAGCAGACAGACACCTTATTTTGAGAATCACATCACCATCAGACAATTGTTTCACAGTTTCCACTAATAGTTCACATGTGCAGACACTTAATACACAAAATCGCACCACTTTTACATATCAAAGTCCACTTCAAACCATTATTTAAACAGTGGTCAAGTTCCCGCCAAAACCCGCGATATACCCTTGTGTTAGTGTTGCATAGATAATTCAAAGTGTAGATTTGCTTAAACAACAATTACACTATGCAAGCGTCCCAGTTGCAAAGCAGTCGCCAGGCCAGACCTGTAGGAATGCAGGAAGTGCCAAAAAGTATCGATATATATCGTATCGATATTTAAGAAAATATTGATATCGTTTTATATATATTGAACAAAAAAATATCGATATGTCGATACATCGATATTTTTCTATAAGCGTCGTTACCTGGCGTCGGGCGGCGCGTCCTGCGGCGACTTGGGCACCAGGTAGTCGCCGGCCGCCGCGCGCTGCCAACACCACACACGTCACACGGGCCCGGGGGATCGTGCACCATGGTCTTTCAGCCATCGTGGCTTCCTAATGCTCTTTTATGTGCCCCAAAAGCCTTACATAGCCTTTTACGTACTTGCCTTTTATCGCTGTTTAATTTTATTTATTTATTCATTTAACTTCTTAGACACTTTAATGTATAAGGACTTAGTGCCTGAGGTATTATCTACCAGTATACCTTAGAGTAGTGCAGAGATAAAATATTATTTACTTTTTTAGATTAAGTCATGAATTAAGTGCAGATAATACTCATCGTTTACTCAGTGGAGTAAGTATAGGGGAGTGCCCCAATATCAAAATATGTAGATTTTTTTTAATTTTCTTAATATTAACGTTAACAACCTTTACCTAACAACGAGTTCAAAATCTTATTTCGGTCTATTGTACTTTTATATCTGAATTACAATTTCTGAATAACAGCCCCAGTTATAAAATTATAACAGGAGAAGAGTTGTAGATTAGCAAAGAATGGGTTGGAGAAAATCTGAACGAGAATTTATATAAGCGTGAGTAAAGAAAATTGCAGAAAGTTGCAGCGGCGATACCTATGTTTACCAAAATGATCTGACCTTGAAAGAAGTCTATACAATTTATCGATAAAGGGTCTATCAAAGAAATTACAAAAGCTTGATAGTTATTATCTCCAATATGTATAGTTTACTCGAATAGGAGATTACCGTGAATTACCAGTATTACAAAAACAAAAATAGAGCGTGGAGTGCTGGTTTTGCAAGACAATGAACCTTTCAACAGTATAACTTTTGTGGTAGGCATTAAAAGATAAGGGCTTTTTAGATACTTTCATCTACCAACGTACAACCCAGACGAGGATTCTAGCGTCTTTTCAATTATAATAAGAATTTAAGGAGTCGGAGATTTCGCAACGAAAATAAGATGAAGACAGCTGTGTAGCGTTATTATGTGTAAAATGTGAAAAATACAATTTAATCTTGCAGGGTTGATAAATCCGTAATGTTCTTGTACTTGTCAGAACTATTTAAGAAAGTCAATGCTTCTCCAGCCATGTCTATATGATAGATTTCTGTTCTTCGGCAGCGAAAAATATTAGGAAGTAAGCGGACGGAACAGCTTGTTAATCACATCACTAAAAGACCATGGCCACGCTATTGAAAGTTTTTACTTTCCATATGTTTAAAAAACGATCTCCCCGAGCCACATTCCACTTAAAACTAAGCGTGCATTATAATTATGAGTTTTGTAAAACATTTTTAAGTCAAATGTCAAAAGATTCACACGTTGTTTTCTTTTACAAAACCCATGCAAAGGGACAAAGGTAAAATAAACAAAAAAATATACAGATAGATTCCCGCTATAGCTACTAGGCAAGTATACACTCAACCTTTGAAGTAATTTTAACAAAATAATGAGAGATTCTTTGAAATGTTTTGCGTGTTTTATTTATTATTCGAAAGCGTATGAATGATTAAAAATATTTATTTAAATCGGTAAGGTATAATATAATGCACTCCATGATTCCATGCATTTTGACGATTCCTTTAATGTTAACATTCCAATGAATCTCTTTCTAACTACAGGGGTTTCTATTTTCTACGCGTTTTTCATTCTAGGAGGGGGTAGAGTTAAAAAATATATCAATTAAAAAAATATAAAAAATGGTAGGTAATGATCATGCGCCACTCGCAAGCACGGTCCTTTAAAAACCACGGATCACTAACACCGATATATTGTTTTTATTTTATTAAATTAAAAGATTCCAGTTACTTGCTTCTAGTAGCCAGAGCGAAAACATTTGGAAAAAATAAAACACAATTAGAAATGAGAAATTCACTCGGAATAATATTTTATTTTTAAGGGGAAATTTAAATAACTTTAAGTATATAGTTTTATTTTATTCATGGTTCATTGTGTTGTTCTTTTATAACTATTAGAACGACGTTATTCTAAAATTTATATAATTGTTAAAACTTAATGTCCATACAAAATAATATCACCAGTTATTTTTAGTTCAACGACGAAACCCGCATTTTGCTTTTTTTTTGGAAGTTTATGGCCTGGTATCTAGACACATTTTGCATTATAACTTTATACAATGTTGCAAGTAATGACTTTTAAAATATTACCATTTTTAGAAACTTACACTATTGTATTATAAATTTGTATTTTAGAATAACGTCATATGTTATGTTATGTTAGTCTACTAGCGCATAGCGTTTTTTACCTGTTCTTCGTCTTCATTGTTTGATCGTGTGTGAGTAACCGCGCCAGTGAATACTGGAAGTGGAGCGCCCGCTATTTCTGGATCCTAGATACAATTTTAAAATACATTAAACCCGTTGAGTAAATACATTAAACCAAAAAACTGGGCCGGCCATATAGCTTGAAGAGCCGACAACCGATGGGGAAGAAAGGTTCTTGAGTGGCAGCCTCGTACCGGTAGGCGAAGTGTAGGGCGACCCCCCACGAAATGGAGTGACGACCTGGTAAGACATGGAGGAAGTCGATGGATGCAGGTGGCTTAGGACCGTGCTTTGTGGCATTCTTTGGGGGAGGCCTATGTTCAGCAGTGGACTTATGAAAGGCTGTAATGATGATGATGATGATGATGAAAAACCTCTTATATTTAAGTATAATCCATTATTAATAAATAACTATAAGAAATATTGCTGCCCATTTCAAATCCTGTGCAATTTTAGTTGCCGAAATGTCTTTTAGATTATCACCTTACGATATGTAGAATATCTAAATGAAAAAAAAAACTTATCTCTTACATCTAATCATTCAAATTAATCAATGTTTTGCGATGTTTATTTCGTGGCTTCACCTTGTCAGCATAAAGCAGCTAGCCAACGAATGAATACAGGTGTTTTGAAAGTGGAAGGTTTTGCTGTAATCTTTTACCAGATCAGCGATCGCAGCACCAGGTGTTGGCTTAGATGCTACTTCACATCACATGTCTAGATATTTAACAGTGTAAATTTGTTTACATACAATTTTTATTTTTATTATAGAAGACGGGGTAAACGAGCATATGCCTCACTTGATGGTGACTACCGACTCCCATGAACAACTGCATCACCAGGGAAATTGCAGGTGCGTTGCCGGCCTTTTATAAAGGAGTAAGGTCTTTTCTTGAAGGTCCCTAAGTCGTATCGGTCCGGAAAAAACCGCTGGTGGTGAACTATTACAACACAGAAGACTAATTAACACAGACTAATTAACACACAGGTTGTACAAAGAAGAAAACTCCTAGTAAAATGTACAGTTGTGGACCGCCAAGCATCCAGATGGTGTGGATGGTATCGGGAGTTTTGCCCCGATGTCCTTTCGTGAAATTTGGCGGTGGATTAATATCTGATAAATTCCTCAGAGCACACCGTGATAGATATGAAAGAAAATGCAAAAGGATGCAACATCTCTTCGCAGCGCCAGTGAATCGAACCGATCGGTAAGGACTCGGTCGTCGACGAATCGAGCCGCTCTGCGCTGGAGCTCCCCAGTGTTAACTGGGGAGGCCCAGCCCAAAGATGGGAATAGTAACAAATGTGAGGCCGAACCTGCGCCCTATAAAGTTGCAGGCGATGTGCTCTTCTGGGGATTAAACTGGACTAGATTTAGTCGCCCCCAATCCGAGACTTTATTCAGCAAAGACTCGACTTCAGACACAAATTTGTTTCGGTACTCAGCGACTTTTCACGAGAAATATTGGCACGGCCTGTGTATAGAGCATCACTAGTGATGTCATCCGCATAGCAAAGAATGTTATCGGTTTGCAACATATCATTGATATGTAGAAGAAATAGCGTTGGTGATAGCATGCAGCCTTGTGGGACACCAGCATTGATAGGCTTGCGATCACGCCATGCTCAGATCGGAGGTCGATAGTGCAGTCTAGATGACGGCGAATGTGCAAGTGCCAGGGATTGCCTTGTAGTCTGCGGTGACTCGAGAAAAAGGCAAGTAATCTGCGAGAGTGCCGTGAAGCAGAGGCGAGCGTTAGAGCTCAGAGCCGTGCCGAACAATGTAGTGCAGAGAGTAGCTTGAAGGAACGGGAAGCATTATTATTCCAGTGCTGCGATGAACCGTTATAAATCTAGACGGCTTGCAGAATGTGATGAAGACTGCAGACAATATCTTATCGGAAGCGAATGAATGGGGTACTTGAGGACAATGACGAAGGTTTGAAGTTGTAGTTTCCGAAGGTTGTTGGTTGCGTGTTCATATCACGTCGAGATCACCAATGTAGCTGGAGGAAGGAAAAGAGAAGATCTCACGCCGGGCAAGGTGTTCAGCCCGGGGAGCGGCCAACGCTCCAAGTGGTAGTTCGGAGCTATTCTATATTATCTGCTTTTACTTCGGAACTTTGAGAGCGCGATTTAGGCTTCGATGTATTTTCATTTGGGGGGTAATGTGGCGTGACGATAGCGCCGGCACAGATGCAAAGAAAGATATGGCAGATCGGCTCTCTCCTTTGCGGCATGGGCCAGTGAACCGTCCTCCCTGTGCAGAGATGGAATAGATGGCTGATAGTAGTTCCCTTGGACAGTCTTGGCGAGAGACCAGAATGCACGTGTTCCCGAAGGAAGGCGAACTAGTTTCATGCCAATTCTGTGCTCTGCCTTGGCAATATTTCTTTTGAAGGACCTGGCGGAATTTTACTTATTTTTAAGGGTGTTGGTGTTTACATCCCGGGACGTTGATGCGTCAACCCAGGCTCAGTAGCCCTCCTGCTTATAGCGTGATGCTATTTTACCGATGGGCACCACAGAAGAAGGAATAAAAAGTCCCATACCCTGAATTAGTAACAACATTGGGATTGCCTGGCGGGAAGAAAACCTGCCCCCAAGGGTAGGATGCAAAGAAAGACCGCATCCTATCCCAAATCGGCCGACCTATAGTGCCAAACACAGTGGCAGCTTGCAGAATGCAACCGCGATGTTAGCGTTAGTGGAACCACACTCCGGACTAGACAATGGTCCGAAGAGCTAAGAGAGGCCTCGACGGAGACCTGATATCCGTCCGGATGAGAGGTGCATGCTCCTCCACATCTGGAATCTGCGTAGGCGAAATAACCAATCGTGTTATAATATCCACATGCCAAGGCAAAGTCATAAATAGATCTTCCACGTGAACCGAGCCATTCGGCGTGGCGGAGGTTAAAATCACCGAGGATGATGATCTCTGCGGATGGGATATTCTGTAGCAAGGAACCTATAGCCATTTGAACGTGCTCCATGAGTAGGTCTGTTTCGGCATTGGGTCTAGCTATGGGACCTATAGAGGCACCCGTAGACGTGCGGATGGTCGTCGCTGTCTATGCGTAGCCAAGACATGAACAGGTCCGTATATTCACTGCCGAGACTTCAAGAACAGATGTCCTCTCTGATGTATACGCTAAATCCAGCCCGAGGCACAAATGAGTGTTCCAATTTGTACCATGGGTAGAAGAGATACGAAGTATCAGCCGGCGAGGACACCTGCGTCTCGGTTAGAAAGAGCAAGGCCGTCTCCGCCGTCTCGTAGTAGGTAGTGGACGGCGTTTAGGTTTGAGTGAAGTCCCCTAATGTTACAGAAGTTCATGGGTAGCGTGGCAGGAGTCGCCTTGGTCTTGTTGCGTAGTTTAAACAGAGCAGTTCTTGTCTTGAGCGGACGGGGCAGCCTGAGCACCTACACTCAGGAGTGGAGTAGTGTGGTCATTGATGCTTCAGCAAGGGATTCTCCATTACCAGGGGTGTTGGTACCCACGCCGGTATTCTGTGAGGTCTTGATGCCCACCCCGGATCGAGCCGGCCCATACGTGCAACAGCAAAAGCTGCTGCGTGGCTCTACCACTGTTATACTGTTATTTTATACGTAGTAGAGCCATTCTACAGATATATTGTGGTTGTAGCACGAACGGGTCGGCTCGACTTGGGTAGGACCATGCTTTCACAGAATACCAGCGTAAAATAGCAGCTAAATGGTACTGTGTTTCGTATGGTGAGTGTAGAGAATCGGTGACTGTTTTTCTGGAAACAAGGCATTCCATCTTAGTCCTCAGAACTGAAAACACATCTTCTGCATTTTCATTCTTAATCGAGGATAAATGTAGATGTCTATGGGCCAGAGCATCCACTTACGATCAGGTGAACTATGTGCGCGTTTCTCAACCCCATTCTATAAAAAAAGCTCTTCCTAATAACAAGTAAAATAAAAAAAAAACTGCGGTTGCCAACCCGTTTGCCAAACGTAACTATGGCAAATATCCCCCCTATTTGGCAATCTAAGGGGCAAGCCTATGTTCAGTAGTGGACTTTAATACGCTATAACTGTGAGGTATAGTTAACATGATGGTAGCCGAAATATTTTCATAGCAGTTTCTTACTCGATAACAACTGGATAAAATTAGCTATTTACATCCCGTCAGCAACAACCTGCAGGAACGGATTTTCACGCACCTGTAAGAAACGCTGCAGTTTGTCGAATATTTGCGCGAAAGATGGTCTGTCGGATGGCGTCGGGTTCCAACATTCGCACATTAGAATGTAGATTTCTTGCGGACAGCCTGTGAAATATTAACAAATGACTTGGTATATTTCTAAAACTTTTTGTCATTTCGCAGGGTTCAAAATAATATTAGATTGGCACTTATAACTTTCGCGCGGTATGAAACAACATATGATTGACACTTATAAATTTTCAACACCTCTAAAAATGCAATTAGAAAATCAGTCTGAAATCTTCGTCTTCAATAATTTTCTTTTAATAAGACATGTTTTGTTAAATTTATAGATGAATGAATGTCTTCGACATTATTGAGAATATATCGAAGCACATAAATTTTTTCTTTTAACAAATCAGATATTGATTTTATAACTCGCGTTGCACCATCTACCAAGGAGATTAAAAAACCTAAAGAATCAAGAATCATTTATTTATTCAGTATTATTATTTTACTCGATTTTCCTGGCCCAATGGCCTCCGCGTATCGGACTCGGGGGGCTCGTTATGCAGGTAGCGTTGAGATGGGGAGGAGAGCTCCTCCCCCGAGGTGGGCCTGCCATGGGGCGGCCAGCACTGTTGAGGTTCCCGTGGACCTGCCAATATGCGGCGAAGGTGGAACACCATAGGGTTTTAGTCGGTGCGAGTCCGACATAACCCGTCCTTGGCCCCGCGAGGCGGGTGTGCGTAAGCATTTCCCCATGTAAAAAAAAGGCATACTCTGACCCGCAATGAATTAAATAAGACAGTTATTAGAAGTAAAAAATATTACAGATGAAATAATAATGGGTCATATTAACTGTGAATTATAGTTTTAGTGGTAGTAGTGGGGAGTAGTTACCATGGGGGCTCTTGAGTCTGCCGCCTTCGGACACCATATTCATGACCTGGCGGTTGCCGCAGCCGGTGTACGGCATCATGCCCAACGAGAACACCTCCCACAGCAGCACCCCGAACGACCTGTACCACATAATCAAACCAAATTTCTTTATTACACAAGCTGGGAGACTTGCCATCTCAATCAACAGTAATGTTTGATGGAGATGACAAATATTCTAAGTTAAACTTGAGGGAAAGGGATGTAATGTTATTTTTATAACTAAAGTGTTGTATGTTAATTAAGGAAGAGCGAGTTTTCCTGTCACAAGTATTGAATAATTTAAAATAAAGAATTTTGTACAACCGACTTCAATATAAATTATTAAGAATTACTCAAAAACTATTGGTCGGACCTTGATCAAATTTATATGGGACCACATGTGAAGCACCACCTTTCAAATAAAAAAAAAGAAAATCGGTTCACCCGTTAAAAAAGTTATGAGTACCTCCTCCTCCTCTTTGAAGTTGGTAGAAAATACTTAAAAGAAATCTGTGTACTAATACTATATACTAATGTAAATTTATTGTTACAGAATAAACATTTTTTGATTTTTTTTTAAACTGCCTAATTTGGTTCTATCTTCTAACCTACCGAGTGGAATAGCTATGTAACCAAGGGCCCCGGGATAGAAATGAAATATGGACCCTATTTGAAACTAAACTAAATATTTTAAAGGTGCAAATTTCATCATCAGCTCCTTAGCGCCCACTGCAGGGCATAGTAAAGCAAATCTACTTACTACTAAGTATTATGTGTAACGCAGCAGATAATATTTAATCGTTCTTCCTAATAATGTTATAAAAGTGAAAAGTTTGTTTGTTTGTTACGCTTTCACGTAAATTACTGGATGGATTTGGACAAAATTTTGCACACGGATAAAGCTCGACCTGTGTAAGACATTATCTCGTGGGATAATTTTCAGTGTTGGTCCATACCAGCCGAAAGAAATTGTGGGCGGAAGCTAGTAAAAAATAAAGTGCCCTTTGAGCTTGGGGCCCCGGGGCACTGTCCTGCCTAGCATTAGGGTAGCTACGCCACTGAATCTACCTAAACGTCCGTATAAGTATAAGCATTATGACAACCCTTCACGGTTACTTCGCACGTCTTTCGTCCTTCACAACACTTTCGTATCAAAACCCACTGATCAAGTTCCGTGTAGGTACGTGCAAATGAGACAGCCATTTTACTTCTATAAAATGGAAACTTAAGAAAACTGAATTAATTTTGGTGTAGGGCATAATCCTAATAATTATTATAAAGACTTATAAAAAATATCATATTATGTCGTTATTACCATAGTTTTAGCATAAGTACCCCTAAATTACCCTGAAATTTTCTGGTGTAGGCATATTTTTATTCAAAGAAACATGTTTTATGATCTGAATGCATTCGGCAATGAGAGTGTAGCTACACTCGACGTCTCGTGAAACAGAAAAAGTAAGCCCTGAAAAGAGCTATTTTATTAGCAGCATAGAGCATGATATTGTGCTTTAAGAAGATGTTTTACCAAAATGTTAACACGCGCAGCGAGAATGCAGATCCGTTCGACACGAGCGTTTCGAAGAAATAGGACGTGTAAGACGATAAGTAGACTTACGAGCTATTGAGTGCAACGATTCTGCCGGCGGCGAGGCGGCGCGAAGCGCTACTCAGATCTCATCGTCGGCATGAAGAAGAACGTTCTTGGGACGTCTCCGATGAGGGGCTCGCCTCAGTCACCAATGGATTTTTATGATCTTTGATCGAATTGAAGTATCTTAAGGATATTCCTTAAGATACAAATGAATTATGGGCATGTCGAGGTTGCGGTGGAGATCCGCGTACCTCAAATAATACGGAGCTCCTGTGATTCGTTGCAGGAATTTATTCTGAACAACTTGAAGTTGTCGAAGACGGTTTTTAGAGATGTGGACAAAGGGCACACCCGCATAATATGTCATAATAGGACGTACGCAGGTCTTGTAGAGATGCAGTAAGTGTCTCAAGAACAGCTTACTGTTTTTATTGGTTAAGACAAAAAGACGATACACTATGAATTCTGCCTTACTTCTAACTGGTCTAATGTGCTGGGAAAAGCGCATTACACTATTTAACAACACCCACCAGGTATTTTACCTCTCGAACCCATGGAATTGGGCTGACGTAGAGGGAGATTGTACCTTTCTTGTGTCTTTTAAGTTTAAGGATTAGTTCATTATATGAAACTTTCCTGTTGAACATAATAGCTTTACTCATAGCGGAGATCAATTCGATTTTCCATCTTCTGCACCAATCGCCTAGTGCGTTTGCTGTAGCTTGGAGCCGAATGCAGATTCTGACAGGGTGACTATCAGAAGAATAAATTCTTGTATCATCTGCGTATAGTGCAAGACGAGTATTTGGTAACGAAGGGATATCACTCACGTAATGTGAGTATAGGGTTGAAGAAAGCACGGAGTCCTGGGGAACTCCTGCTCTGATAGGTCTGGAACAGGAGAAGATCTCCTCGACTCAAAAACGGAAGGAACGATTGGCAAGGGTATCTTGAATAATTTTGACAAGTCGAGCAGTTTGGCTATAAAGCCAAACAGCTCGTTCAAATTTTTGTCTACTACGACACCCTTCAGACGGCTGAGGTTGAAGCGCTCATAGATTTTCCCTATAGCACCGAAGAGACTGATGGGTCTATAACTAGATGCCCTATCTCTGGGTTTGTTTGGTTTGTGAATACCGATAACGTCTGCTTCTTTCCACAGTTCTGGTAAAGTGCAGGTGGATAATAGGACATTGAAAGTAGCCTATCGTAATAATGCCGTCAGCATCTGGCGCTTTTCGAGACTTGAGATTTTTGACGATGGTTTTCACCTCATCGAAATTATCAGGAGGGAGGGGGTCATCCGTTGCGATGTGGCGAGCAGATTAGCGGCTTCCTCGTCCACCTTATTCAGGTGGACGGGGTCAACTGGCAGGGTGCTAGGAGAGCATTTGCTCTCGATGCTATGCGACATGGACTCGGCCTTTTTCGAGTCATCGAACGCTAGCTGATCATCAGATCCAACTAATGGGGGCTAACTAAGAAAAAGTCGAAGCGACACATTCTGATTTCAGAGCTCTCGCCAACCGCCAGAAGGCAGTGTCCGAGGGCGAGATATCTTCCATCAGTCTGCCCCATCGTGTTTTCCCCAGCTGGGCCATGTGCTCCTTGACCTCTCTACAGAGGCGGCGCAGGTTGGACCTATTTATTGACAGTTCTATAACGGTCATAGGCCCTAACTAAATTAACTAAATTTTTCTCTCTCAATAATCCGTACGTTGCCGAGGAGTTCAAAACGACGATCGCTCGACGTCGTGACCTGCCTCGACGATTCTCCGGCGACCACCTTTATATGAGGGTGATATGGGAGATGGCTTCTAAAGCAGTCTCTTTAGTTTCAATATTGTCTGGCATTTGATCTAAATATTCTGAGTTCATAGATACGAGGTTAGCCTCGAACCTATGCCAGTCCGTTCCAGTTACGGTTGGAAGAACCACACTGCTGGACTGACATAAAGTGGTGAGGAGGAGGTATTACAAGACGTGGTTTATTATTAAAGAAGAAGAAAAAGTTATTGCAGAAGAAGTAAAGATTAAAGAACAGCTTTTGCAACGAAATAAGTCCCTTAGATGCACCGTGGCGCCACAGTCTTAGTTCTAATATTTTCCACGGGGCTTCTTTATTGAAACAGACTCTAGTATAAACCTAAGACTAATTACTGATATAAAACAAATCTAAGTTAATAGCACCATAATTACTATTGTTATAATGTATTAGCACTTTTAATTTTGCTATAATTAGATAAATTTTTGTTTTGTATCCAATTATACGACAAGGTAGCCCTGTGAAAATACTCACCAGACATCGGTTTTTATGGTGAAGATTCCATCTATGTAAGCTTCGGGCGGCATCCATTTTATTGGTAACATCGTTTTACCGCCCTTTTTGTAGTACTCTGCGCGGTACACGTCGCGCGCCATGCCGAAGTCCGCTATCTTCACGACTCGTCCCGGCCCGCGCGAAGTTAGCAGGCAGTTGCGAGCTGCTATATCCCTGTTGAGAAAACATTTTTATTAAAGATTACATATTTTTAGTTTATCTCAATCATTTTTGTCATAATATTATAAAATGTACAGTTACCTGCAATTTACATTTTCATTAGATATACAAAACTTAGCATTTAATTTATATTTATTTAATATATTACATTATTACTTATCCAAAACATAGCAAATAATATTACATAAAATATAACACAAACAAATCAAATTAAAACATAAATAAAAATGTTGAACGCTTCACGATTTTGGGTGTCATCCTTGCGCATCCTTTTCATTATAATGTATAGATGTTAAATTTTAATTAACTAAGATCCGCGTAATAGAATAATGTGTCTAATCTAGTTTGAAGAGCAACTCCCGCCCTCCCTCAATAGAGTAGAATAGAATAGTATCATTTTTATTCAACATAGATTACAATACATAATACTTATTGAAAGACAGTTTTTACTTTTATCACTGGTTCGCAAAACAACCTCTGTCCTGGAAAGAACCAGCAAGAAACCCAGCTGGACTAAAAAAAGACCTAATTTACAATATAATATTTTATACAAGTGTTATGAAGAAACAGCATGGTAGCGATCACCTCATTCCCAGGGTTTATTACCAGTCATATATTATTTAGTAGTATAATAACCTTTAGTAGACAATTTTTGCTTAATAAATAATTTAAACCTTTTGATAGATAAAAAAGGTCTGCATATTTTCTGGGACTTTGTTGTAAAAGCGTATACAATGTCCCATGAAGGAGCAATAATGCAATCCTAGTATTTACAAAATGTACATCACTATTTTTAATAAAATTATTTTTGTTTCTGTGTACATACATTAAATTCTCGTTAATATATTTATTTCTTTAAATTTTTCTCTAAGGGATTCCTTCGGATCTAGGTTATAAATTGCTCTTATGACTCTCTTTTGCAAAACAAAGATAGTTTCAATGTCAGTCGCATTACCCCATAGCAAGATTCCATATGACATTATATTATTGAAATAACTAAAATAAACTAATTTAGCTGTTTCAACACATGTAAGGCATCTAATCTTATTTACAGCATATTTTTTTTTAATAGGATAGGGTGACAAACGAGCACACAGTCCACCTGATGGTAAGTGGTTGCTGTGGCCCATAAACATCTACATTTATCCTCGTTTGCGAATAAAAATGCAGATGCGTTGTCACCCGTGAGGACTAAGGTGGAATGCCTCTTTTCCAGTAAAAAGGGTCTTCGGTTCTCTACACTCACCATACGAAACACAGCAGTGTTAAGCTGCTATTTGACGCTGGTATCCTGTGAGAGTGTGGTCCTTCCCCGGTCGAGCCGACCCATTCGTGCTACAACTATACTACTAATATAGCTGCAGCATGGCTCTACCACGTTTAAATATAGCATATGCTGTAGAACTAAGTTTGCTAGCTAATTTAGATATATGACGGCCCCATTGAAGCTTCGCGTCAACTGTAATTCCAAGAAAAACAGTGGAATCAACAAGGCCCAGGTCCTCCCCATTTAAAAGCACATTGGTATTCTGGTATTGATATTCTGGTACCTGTTTAACATTAGGTGTAGTGAATTTAATACATTTAATTTTATGACCGTTCAAAATCAAATTATTAACGTTAAACCAGTGTACTACTTTTAATATAGCATTATTCACTTCATGACGAAATGAATAATGCTATATCAAAAGTAGTATTTCAATAATTGCCTTTTTAGTCGGAAATCATCGAAGTATCATCAGCAAATAATACTATATCATGATTATTCCCTACCAAGTAAAGTAAGTCAAGTTATGTAAACTAAGAACACAAAGGGACCAAAAACTGAGCCGTGAGGAACAGAAACAGAAACAGAAACTTTTTTATTCAATATAGATTATAAATAATACTTATTGAAAGTCACTCTTTTGTTTGATTACCACTGGTTCGGAAAAAACCTCTGTCCTGGGAAGAACCAGCAAGAAACCCAGCGGGACTTTTTTTTTTAAATAACAGCTTACAATCATGATGTTACACAAATTAACAACACAACAAATTAGAAATAGCTTGGTAGCGATCACCTCATTTCCAGGGGTTATTATCATCGTGGAGGATGTGGTGAGCGCTCTGTTCCCTGCGCGCGGGGAACATCCGCCCCCGCCTATGGCTCCGCCACCTGCGGTGCCGGAAGCGGACCACCAGGACGACGACGACGACATCCCGGGTACCGGGACCGGGGTAGACCTGAGAGTGGCGGTACGTAGGCTCAAGGCCAGGAATACCGCCCCAGGACCCGATGGCTTGCCTGGCAAAGCCTGGGTCCTGGCCTCGGAGGCTCTCGGGCCCCGACTGGAGGGGCTCCTAAGCGCATGCTTGGAGAGAGGCCAATTCCCGCTTCGTTGGAAGACGGGGAAGCTGGTCCTCATTCGGAAGCCGGGGCGCCCTGCGGACTCTCCGTCCGCATACCGGCCCGTGGTGCTGCTCGACGAGGTGGGCAAGCTCTTTGAAAGAGTAATTGCAAACCGCCTCGCCGAGCACCTTGCGGGGACGGGGCCGGATCTTGCGGAACACCAGTTTGGTTTCCGCAAGAGGCGCTCTACGGTGGACGCCATCATGCGCGTGAGAGCCCTCACGACGGGGGATGCAGTGGCCAGGGGGGGGGGTTGTCTTGGCGGTGTCTCTCGACATCGCCAACGCCTTCAACTCCATGCCCTGGAGCTGCATTAGGGAGGCACTCCGGTATCACCGGGTGCCGACCTATCTCCGTCGTATAGTCGGGGACTATCTGACGGACAGGGCCGTCATCTACCCCGGTCGAAACGGAGAGTGGAACCGGCGAGAGATGTCGTGCGGTGTCCCACAGGGTTCGGTTCTGGGGCCGCCCCTGTGGAACATCGGTTACGACTGGGTGCTGCGCGCCGACCTCCCTACCGGCGTCAGCGTAGTTTGCTACGCTGACGACACGCTGGTACTGGCACAAGGGGGGTCGTACGAGGCGGCGGCGGAAACTATGACACGCGGGGTTGCGATAGTCGTTGAGAGGATCCGGCAACTGGGTCTCGAGGTGGCTCTGCACAAGTCCGAGGCCATGCACTTCCATGGTCCTCGGAACAGGCCACCACCGGGATCCTCAGTGATGGTAGGAGGGGTATCCATCGGCGTCGAGTCGACGTTGAAGTACCTAGGACTCGTCCTCGACGGCCGATGGAACTTCGTTGAGCACTTCCGACGTTTGGCTCCCAAACTGGAACGGACCGGGGCTGCCTTCAGGCGGCTCCTGCCGAACCTGGGGGGGCCAAACGCCTCCTGCCGGAGGCTCTACGCGGGGATCGTGAGGTCCATGGCCCTTTACGGGGCCCCGGTGTGGGCGCGTGGTTTGGCGCGGCTTGCCGTCCACCACCTAAACGCGCCCCAAAGGGTGGTTGCCGTAAAGATGGTTCGCGGCTACCGCACGATCTCCCGCGAGGCGGCGAGCCTCCTTGCCGGATTGCCGCCATGGGATCTGGAGGCGATAGTCCTCGCGCGCCTGCACGAATGGCGCGCGGCAGCACTATGCCGGGGGGAAACCCCGCTGCCGCGGCAAGTTGTCGCGCAGCGGACAGACTTCCGGCATGATCTCATGGCGACATGGAGAGAGCGACTGTCGCAACCCCGTGCTGGGCACGCCACTATAGCGGCGATAAGACCCCTCTTTGAGGAGTGGCTTGAGAGACGCCACGGCGTCCTCACCTTCCGCCTGACGCAGGTCCTCACCGGACACGGTGTGTTCGGGAGGTTCCTGCACCGAATCGGGCGGGAGGAAACGCCCGGGTGCTCCCACTGCGAGGATCGACCGGAGGACACGGTGGAGCACACCGTGGAGGTGTGCTCTGCTTGGGCGGAGCACCGCCGTGTCCTCGTAGCGGCGATAGGCGGCGGCGACCTCTCGCGTCCGGCTCTGGTCGAAGTCATGGTCCGGAGCGAGACGGAATGGGATGCCGTCACCACCTTCTGCGAAGCAGTGATGCTAGCGAAGGAGGTGGCGGAGCGGGAGAAGGAAAGAGCAACAGCTTTCCTTCCCGGCCGCCGCGGGAGACGCCCCGGGCGTCGGGGGCTACGTCGTGGCCCCCGACCACCGTAGGCGCGGGCCTGTGGACGGCGAGCAATGGGTAGCTCGCCGTCCGTCCGTCTAACGACGACAGGCCGTGTCGACGGCGCGTTTTGTTCCACGCGCGCCTCAAAGAGCTGTCAGCAGCGTGAAGGGGCCCGCAAGGGCCGACGCCTGCCGGGGCTGCGGGCTGTTCGAAAGAGATACCGCGGCTCCGGAACGTAAGGGCACTGAAGGAACACGGATGGTTTTTAGTCAGTAAAAGTCTGACACTCCCTTCCGCTCCACCCACAGCGAAAGGCGTCATTAGATGATTTTCCATCCGCAAAAAAAAAAAAAAAGGGGTTATTATCATCCATAAATTCCTTAATATTATAATAACCCTTTTTATACAAACTTAGTTTAATAAAGTTTTTGAACTTTGAACAGGTCAAACTTTGTATATTTTCTGGAATTTTGTTGTAAAAGCGTATACATCGCCCCAAGAATGAATTACTGACTCGATGGAGTCGAGTAACTGGTACTACTAGCTTGTGTCTGTTCCTAGTATTTACAGAATGAATATCACTTATTTTTATAAAACTACTTTTATTTTTGTGTACGTACATTACATTTTCATAAATGTATTGAGAGGCCAAAGTTAATATATTAATTTCCTTAAATTTTTGTCGCAGCGACTCTTTAGGATTTAAATCATAAATTGCTCTTATGGCCCTCTTCTGCAAAACAAATATAATTTCAGTGTCGGCTGCGTGTCCCCATAGCAAAATACCATACGACATTATGCTATGGAAGTAGCTGAAGTAAACTAGTCTAGCTGTTTCAACACTGGTTAGACTTCTAATCTTTTTTACAGCATATGCTGCAGAACTAAGTCTGCTTGCTACTTTTGATATATGGGGGCTCCATTGAAGCTTCGCGTCTAGTG